TTTTTTTTTTCAGAAATTATCATAAAATATTTTATAGGTAATTCTTATAGAATATTTTGTCCCTTCCTTCTGACAAGTGGTGAGTTTTAACAAAGTATGCTATCGACGGAGTGTTAGCAACCATCACATGCAACTCATAACATTTGACATATTTGTAAAAAAGAAAATCTATTTTTTTATCGTGTGAAATTCTACCTTAAAATTTGAGGATAAAATAGAAGAGATAAAAAAATGTTCAGACTTTCAAAACATTTATTTATAAAATATAGAATATTAAGATATATATATATATATATATATATTACTATATACGATTGAATTCATTCTAAAATCAAAACAAATTCAGTATTCCTGAGCTTGTATTAATTTACAAAAGAAAAAAATATTTAATAACGCATTAAAATGTACTTTTTTATTACCCAATATTGCTTATTTTGTAAACAACTGTTAAATGTTGGTGCAACAAGGATTAATAATTTTGATGTGTTGCGAGTGTTATTACCTTTCAAGTTCAAGTTAGTCAATGCACTAGGCACGCAACAACTAGCATTCGCATCACCATACTTGCCAGGAAACTCAAGTGGATACATAATAGTTGAATCCCAGGTCTTTGGATGGTACGCTGACTCTCCAAGGAACTTCTTTCCATTTCCTAGCTCAACAATGGACGATATTCTTCGATCAGTCGTCGTTGCTCCAACAGTTAGCACCCATGGCGCACTATGACTAAGTGTTCCAGTCGTTGGCCCATCATTTCCGGCCGCTGCGACAGGTACGATTCCTTGCCGTATTGCAGCCAGAGACCCTCGAGCAACCGCATCAGAATAAAATGTATCATTATGCCCACCACTAATTGACATCGAGATTATGTCGACTCTATCTTTTATTGCTTGATCAATGGCAGCATATATTTCACTGTATCCACAGCCGTATATCGGAAAGCAAACTTTGTAAATGGAGAGATGAGCCAAGGGAGCCATGCCGGATGCATCACCCTTTGCCATCCCAAGAATATTTGCATTTTTTACGAAGTTGCCCGCTGCGGTGCCTGCAACATGGGTCCCATGCCCATTGGTATCTTGTGGGGAAGGGTTAGTCCCATTAAAGAAGGCCTTCGCTCCAATGATTTTATTGTTGCATGCAAAGCCTGCAAAACAAGTGCCCTTCCATTTTGGAGGACGAGGTGCTGGCGGCATTTTTGTGTCTTTGAATGAAGGATGGCGAGCCTTGATGCCAGTGTCAAGTACACCAATGATGAGACCTTCGCCCATCATGGTGGATCCCCATGCATTACTCGTTGTGAGTCCGAGGTACCTATTAAGATACATAAGAGTAATGAATTTAATGCAACGTCAGCTTTGAAAATTTTTTTTTTTAGTAAAAGAGAAATAAATACTCATTCCCACTAAGGTCGACACATCTCCCTTGTTTATCTTATAAACAAAGATGATGTCACACAATTTTTTTTTTAGTAATTCTGCTTATGAACAATAATGCAACAATAGAATTTGCAATAACTTTGCGCTACATAAATTTAGAATGATATTCTTGCTCACAAATATCAATATTTAGAATACATGTGCAGTGACTCAATGTTAAAAATTGGATGAGTATATAAATTTACTTGGAATGCATATGTAAGTATTAAATTTAGTCCAGCCTCTGCTCATTAAAATTTATATTGTTGTAGAAAATTAAATTAATTTTACTTGGAGTTTTTGCATGGCCGCCCTAATTACCTTGAGATAATATTACATCAGGAAGTAGTTTGCCTTAGGAGTCTAATGGTGGGCGTCACGTGCCAAGTAGGCCCCGCCGTAATACATTGACATTGGTCAGTGTCAAGAATCGTGGGGCCCGCTCGGCACGTGACGCCCTATCATTGGACTCCGAATGCATCCGGAGTCCTGATGTAATATTTTTTCAATTACCTTGGTGTATAGGTTGTGGCAAGCGGGTAATAGCGATTCCGCTGTGCAAAGTGGAAGCCTGGTTTTGACTTGATGGTCTCCAACTCCCGGGGAGTAAGACGGGCAGCGAAGCCACTGAGGACGTGGCGATAGGAATAGAGCAACCGCGGCGTGCCTGAATCGAGCGTTGAGTTTGGCAGGAAGGAGAGATGAAAGCTCTCAAGATCGACGTCGCTGAGCAGGTCGTGCCGCTCATGTCTCTCCACCCCGATGATGTACACAAGCGTCCCATGTAACTCATCCATTATGGAGAAAAGCTGAGAATCAGAACATGTAAATACGAACAGAAGAAGAGAAATTAAGATAGGGATGCGGTGCTCCATTTTGAGTGAGAAGAGGAAGATGGATTAACTGTTTACAAATATGCCGATAGTTGCTGCATCTTATAAGAAGTTATGAGAGGAAGCTTCCTACACCGGGAATTATGGTGAGTGCTAAATAAGTGTAATAATGGAGAACAAAGGATCCAAGAACATAGCATGGAAAAGTACCCAAAGAGCCTTCAGCTTTTTTGTGGGAGGTGATGGAGATAAAGTGTTATGCCTGTTTGAAGAATAAATGCATGGTTAGTTTCGTGCGCAAAATGCAAATTGGTTTACGAGGAACTATGAAAATATTCATGGCAGTTGATGCACGGACGGAAAGATTTTGCTCGCCGGTTTTTACTAATATTTTCTCGAGTGATACAGAGGAGTTATTCTGATGGCAATTTTTAAATAATTGAATTAATTAATTTTCTATCTAAAAATGTGGAAAATTTTAAATTAGTTTTGATCACTCAAGTTGGCATGGAGCTCATAAGGTGTAAGAAGGCCTGTAAAAAATGCTCATCAACAGATCATGTTCAGCGGATCCTTAAGTAGCTCGTCATCTCATTATTCGTCAAATAATTGTCTAATATGAATAAAATTTTATACTCGAATTAACAATGAGGCGAATAAGAATAACCTTTTTTTCTTAATCATGTTCTAGTTTTTTAACTCGAAATAAGGACATTTTAAACTTTATTATATAATAATAAATTATATATACTTTTATTCATGTTTAAATTAGCATAGCTCGTGTGGCCATTTAGTTTCGTATTTTCCGCTGCATGAGAATGGTGTGCCCTCAAATCCAACACAGCATTTTTTTTCCTGAATAATTTAAATTGGTCGACTTGTGTTGAGCTCGAGCTGAAAATGAACCCAAATATTTTTTTCAAGCTGAAAACGAATAGCTAGCCAATTTCAATTAATAATAAACATAACTGAGTCTAACACGAACATATGTTCCACTTGCCCAAATTCTGCTCATTTGCACTCACATTTCTTTGTGAATCGCATTCAATAAATAAAACGTAAAAGAATGAAATGATAGACAACAAGAGATATTGGAATTAAGCATTGTGGTCTTAAATTTTGTAAACCCTACTATATTATGTTCCTCTATTTATGGGTTACTAGAATAATTATGAAATGAAAATTCCATCCTTAACACTTCTACCGTATGCCGGCATCTTTAAGTAGGAATTTGGTCAAGCTGGTGATTTGGCTTTGAGCGTCGATTGAGGTTTGAGTATCGATCGATCTAGGTTTGATCCAAGTTGGTTATCTTTTTGGCTGGCTGGTGCTTAGGTGAGCTTAGGGTCGGTTCGGCATATCCTCATTCAATTGATTTCTTTTTATTTAAATTATTTTCATTCCTTATGGATCTATACACGTGTCCAATCAGGGAGGGCAAGCACATTTTTCTTATACAAATATGAAGAAAATTTTAAATGTTTTCAAATTATTTAGTTATATGCAAATAATATAAATTTTTATTTCTTAAGGTTCATTTAAAGAGAAATTTAAAAATAAAAAGAGTATTTACATACGTAAAATATTAAATTTTAAATATCACTTCTTAACTTGGTTATTTTGACACACATATTATATATATATATATATATATATAGTGTCCGTTTGATGGTCATTAATAAATATTTAACCAAGCATGAATCTAAATGCATTTTTTAGCAATAAATAAAAATTTTCTAAATTCAAATTCAAGATCATCATGTAAATTTATGGTCAAACTGGCTGTCCTGGCATGACGAACAAAATGATACCAAAATTGGTTCAATTCGGGTCTAATAAAGCTTAGATCAAGCCGTTAAAGCACAAATAGAAGCTTTCAATCATCAATTGAATGATCAAATTAACTCAAAAATTTACATATTTATGGCCAAACCAAATGTTTTGATGAGGTATCAAAAATTTACATATTTATGGCCAAACCAAATGTTTTGATGAGGTATTTAAATTCTTAACAAAAATCCCATAAACTCAATGAAATCAATATGATTAGTTCGATCAGGTGGTCAAGGAAGTTATTAGCCAAATGATCAAAATACCTCCCTTAAAAGCTATAAACAAACCCCCTCTCTTCACTTAAGGAGAAAAGGAAAAAAAATTCAAGAACCTGTTCGGGATTGAATACCTAACAATAGCTTTCATCCTTATAAGCTATCGGCCACTTCCAAACACTACCCATTGGCCACCGTTAATGCCATTAGCTATTATGGTCTGCTTTCATCGACCATTAGTCATTATCGACCCTTGCTTGAAAATTGTTATATATGAAATATGGTTGTAATGAATAACGCCTGTGTTGACAAATCAGTGATAACTTCCGAACTTCATAACCATCAAACACCATCATTCACTGACCATCAACCACCACCAACCAATGTACCCATGCACCGATAATCTCCTCCATTAGTGACCCTTACTTGTGAACATTATGTCTCAAATCTTAATGAAATGTATAACACTGATATTGAAGACCTAACAATAATTTCCAATCTCTGTAGTTGTTGATTAACATCAACCACCGCACATAGGGCATCGTCAATCGCCTCGTTTACTGTCGCCAAGCTCCAACCATCAGTGAACACCCACCCAACCACCCCCCCCCCCCCACCACAATAATGGATAACACCCATGTTGAAAACCCAATGATAACTTCTATTCTTTGTAGCAGTCGAATATCGTTCTTTGGCCACTATTGATCACAATCGAGCGTCACCATCTTCCATCACTGACCATCGACCATCAAAGACTGCTGATTACGACCATCGTAGCCAGAATACATTAATTTTTCTAGCATCTGCATTTTTTTTTAGGTTGTATAAAGACATGCAGTTTTTTTTTTATGTAAGATTATAACCTCATTCTCCCTATGAGAAGGGGTTGAGACACCAACTATCACTTTGTTGGCAAGCAACTATTATTACAACTACCGACTATTACCTTTGTGAACAACTATTATTATTACAGGTTCCAACTATGGTCTTTGTTGCCAATTATTACTAATACAACTTCCAACTACGGTTTTTGTGGCCGACTGCTACTTTTGTAACGACTAAGTACAACCTTTAAGGCTCACGAATAATGTCGTAGTTCTCAAGTACGTCTCTCTGGCTAACTACTACATGTGCAACCAACTGCGATCTTTTTGGCTAACTACTACTGTTACAACTTTCAACTACAACCTCTATGGCAAACCGACTGTATTGAAGTCACCAACTATGCTCTCTATGACCAAATAACGATATTGTAGCATCCAATCATAGCATTTGTGGCAAACAAATATTTGTTCAACTGATCTGCCATTTTTTTTAAAATAAATTTGAT